GAGAAATTCTCACTCCATTCTGGCCGTTATAGTGATGAGGCAATGCAATGGTGCAGAAAAGTTACAGGCTTGAGCCCTGTCCTTCATACGGAAAGAGCCTGCAGACGAGAATGCTCTCTGGTCTGCTCATGAAACTGCCCTATAACTAAGGGTGAGGAAAACCATAGGACTGCATTCTGTTCTCATTACCACCATGTAGATCTCTGAAAGGCAGATTATCTCCAATGTCTCTCCATTTATGCTTTCTAACCAAGACGGTGCTCCTTTCAGGATGTGTGCATTGCTCTTCTTGGTGTTCACACGTCTAGAAAAAGAGATTGGGACGTGGGGACAGGTGTGGACAAATGTCTGTAGTTCTGCTTGAACTTCTGGCTGCTGATAATGCTTCAGGGAAAAACAAGGCAGCTCAGAGTGCTGGGTAAAAGCTCCTCAACGTGGAGTAGTACTGAATGTAAACCCAAACTAAATATAGAGGCTTCTGATAGGCAAGAACCAAAGAAGTGGCGCTAACTGAGCTATTCACAAGCCCAGCTACAGAAAGCTTGCTTACATGCCCATGTTGGGAGTTTGTGGTCTTTCCATAGCGGATCAAAAGGAACTATTTCAGACCATGATTCAGGGTGCCCCAGCAGGATTGATGGTTTTGTTCACTGTACTGGATTACCTCCAGATTCAAGGACTGGAGTTGCACATCTGATCTTAAAAGCTTAGCTGTCAACTGCGTTTGTGAGCATTCGTGAACTGTTACTCTGAGATTCGTAGTTTTGATAAAGTTCAAGTAGTTTGACTTTGCATTGAAGGGATTGTAATTTTTCTGCCTCGTGTTGGAGAAGCCAGGCTGTACAGTTTGAAAATTTAACTGTTAAGCACGCTAGAGATCATAGAGATCATTCAGAGGAATTACACAGTGTTTATTTGGTTTGCATTAGCCTGTTTTTATGCTTTGTTACTACGCATAGAAATTCTAACACCCGCAAAGCAGAACAGTGATAGTTTGTATCATGGAAGTAGTATATACAGTATATGGCCAGATGACAGATGGTTGTGTTTCCCAGAACTTGTTTTTATCATTTTCGGATATCTACTGCCACATTACATGACTAAAATGACAGCTTCCATCACATAAATTAGATTAGCAGTATTAAATCTGTTGTTTCAGTGTTACATAGGAAATTTCTGTGGTAGATAACAGTAGTTGGAATATATATTTTTCTCTGTCATACAGCAATCTATGCAAAGGCAAAGCTTGACATTAGCTTATCCAGATTATGAGCTCTAAGTAAATGCTGACAATGGAAAAATCATGCAGTTTGACTCCTTGGTCTGTGGTGCATTGTAAGATGGTTTGTGAATTGGCTTCCCTCTGACACGTGCTTATTTTTTTCCCTGATTGTGACGACACAAGTAAAAACTGTACTCATTTCTCCTAAAGTGGTAATGGGACCTTAAGAACAGGGGTCAGAGCAATATGTGAATGAAAACAATGACAGAGGTTCCCCTTCCCATTTGTGTAGAATAAATATTGTTGACATTCCTTTTTCCAGTCGTCCTCACGGGGCTCTGCCTGCAATAGGGACTCCTTGTAAGTTCAGTGAGTTCTAGGAATAGATGTCATAATAACCCAACAGAGAGAGGTGTAACGTCTTCTGACATATTTGCTTGGCACAAATGTAACAAAGTTATATAAATTTCAAACCAGGAGTATGATTCGTTTTTGCCATGCATATCTACTCGTCTGAACTTCTGGATGTTGATTAATGAATTGTGAAGGTAATCATCTATTGTATCAATTTAAAATATTCATCATGTTCTTCAAAGGCAGCGAGAAAATATGTACAGCTGCAGTGGAAGGAAGAGGAGATGGGCACCTTGCTGTGTATCCCCTGCAGAACAGTATTTACAGTCATTCTTTTATTCATCAGTGATAGCAGAAGCAGACTGCAGAGAGGCCAGTCATAGCCCACAGAAGTTTCATGCTGACAGACTCAGAGTTTTCTTTCTGGATTTTAGAGATATTGTTTGTAGAGTGAGAACTCTGTTTGCTTTCTTATGTCCTGCAGAAAAAGAGAGGACATTTTGCGGGATTTTTTTTTATTGTTGTTCAAAATTGTTGTTTAGGCAAAATTCTCAGTAAGTCATTTCTAGCTTTCTATTGCTTTCTTTTAAATTCCCCTTTCAGCCACGGTGAGACTTCAGTTGCATTAGCCTTTGCTTGGTATTCACTACATCTTGACTAGAACTGATAAATTACTTTGAAAAATGTTGCTACATTTCCATTTCCTTATGTTTCTCAGCAGCTATGCATGTAAGCTTAGGTAAACATATTAAAAATGTGTTGTAACTGGTGGAAATTTAAGGGGAACCTTTGGCTTGTTACGAGCTTTTCACATGAAAATTCTAGGTTGGATAAGAAGAGATGGTAGGTAACATTTCATTTAGTGTGAGCGGTATTGTGTGGGAAGCAGACTTTAGAAAATGGTAGTGTTGCTTCTTTGGGGAAGGAAGATTTCAGCTCAAATTCTTTCTTTCTAGTGTAGTCTACACCTTTGTAATGAATTCCAGAATGGCCAGTTGAGCAGGGGTGGCAGTGTTTTTAGCTGGGATCTCAGTGACTTGAATTGTCCTGGCCAGTTGCTCTGTGTGCCGAATCATCCTGCTGTGGCTAGTGAAGTCATTCAGCTAATCTGTCGCTCTGGAACTGACATTGCATTTGAGTTCGCCAAAAGCTACACCTCTGTGTTATTGATTTACAGGTGAAATCCAGGTATGTTTCATCAGCAAGGCTTGTTGAAGGAAATCCAGTCTTTTTGAAAATATTTGGTAGCAGGAATGCTGCTCAGTGAGCAGTTCAGTGACAGCATACTGTGAAAGATCACAGTGAAAGTATGGCTGAGCTCTGTAGAGCTTTTTTCCAGTGGCTATTCTAGCCGCTTCATTCAAAGTCACCTTTAAAAAAGCAGTGATGACTGACTGTGGGCTTCTTTCTTTCCCTAACTCAAAGCAGCTGATGCTCTTGTGTCACTTGGTTCTTATATAAATGAGAAAAAAATGTGTGCACGTGACACTTAACTTCAAAATGGAAAGACTTGCAGCAAATGTGACCACGATAGTCCTTACCAGACAGCAGTGCTACCACCCTGTCTTCATCACATCACTGGCTTCTCTGTGCAGGAAGCAACCTTGGCCTAATTCGCAGATGACCTCTGAGCAAACAACCTGAGCAGAACCCTGTATTAACATGCTTCTGCAGTGAGTTTCAGATCTTACAAAATTGCAGCTTTATTCCTCTTAATTGAAGAGACAAATAAACCTGTCAGACTATCAGCTGTATTTAGCTTTCTTTTGCTGTTTGATGCTCGCTCGTTTTATTTCTCAAGCTTTTTTTTCCTCATTTCCTCTTTGCGTTTTACAAGCATCTGTATTTAATTTATGTGTACATATTGTTCCACATGGTTCAGATCATCTTTATTTAATGACTATTGCCATCATTACTATTTAATGAACTTCTTTGAATTATACATTACAGAAATATAAAACAGATTGGGGTATAAGTCTGTCCTTTAGCTATTTGTTTTGGTTTGATATGTCACAAATACTGGGCATATATGATTTAGAAACAAACTCTATGGCTTGCACTTTATAAATACAATGTCAGTAGGCACCTGATGTAGGTGTGTTAGGTGTTAAGATGTGTGACTTGCAAGGAAGCAAAGCCATGAATCTTTCTGCATCAGATAGAGTGTCTGAAGTGCTTGCCTACCTTTTTTCCAGTTACATTAATATTCTTTTCAATCTTCATGTTACAAAATTGAAAATAAAATTAACAATTAGCTTTATTTTTCCATGTTGTCCAGTTAGTGGCAGCTGCAAGGAAAGCATACAAAGCTGGTTCATGGTATTTCTCTCACAACCACTTCATTGGTAAAGGCCATCACTGAAGGCTGAGCAACACCTGTAAAGGGACAGAAATAAATCAGTTCTTTTACATACTTGATGATCCAAATGCAAGCCAAATATCAAAAGCCATAAACACAACTCAAGGAAAATTACTTGAAGGTAAATTTATCAATTATTTGAAGAGGTTAGAAACCCTGCTGTTATTTAATTGCTATTAAATTCTCAGACGGTTATTGTTCATACAGTAAGGACGTACTAGTGGCATTTTTATGTGGCATGTTGGTTATTCTAATGACAGAGAGTCGGGAAAGTACTCAAAAAAATGGTTGGAATGCTGATTACAAGAGTTCAAAACTTGAAATTGCTACTGAGCATATTCTACAGACAGCATAAAAATTCACCTACAGGGCATTAGCAGCCTGTTATTGGTGGCATGGTGTCTGGTGCATCTTACTTTTTATTCCACCCATTTTTGTGTCCCTCTTGTAGCTGCATTTACCCATCACAAGTCCCTTTTAATTTCAGTGATGGTTTTAAATTAACACCCAATGCAATAACAGCAAGGTAAACGAAGATATTTAAGATATTTTACTCTGAAAAACAACCAGCGTGCAAAGCCTTGCTTTCCACAACAAAGCTTTGTCAGTGCTTGCCAATTCTGCAATGTCTGAGCTCTGGTGGGGCTCGCTGGCACTGGCAGCTGAAAGCAGGCAGCTGCCAAAGCCTCTGTGTAGTTTGGCACCTAAGAAGTGCCTGTCAGTTTACTTGTGTTCCTAATCTGACAGCCACTATAAATAGTTCAGGTGGCTGTTTTCTTCTGATGAAGTTATCACGTCCTTCTGGATACATGTTCAGAGGTAAGGGAGCAGTTAGTGAAATTCTTACTTATTTACAGTATATCTGATGTCCTTCTTAAGTTTACAGTTAGTGTATTTTAGAGAGCTGTCGTGTTTGTTACAGCTTCTTGAAAAGTACTGAAACATCACAAAAAAAAGCATGGAATGAAACTGCTTTGCTTGTGACCTGGCAAAATTGAAAATGAGTTAGCCTTAACCTCACAGCTGCTTCTGTTTTAGTGGTAATGAATGCACTTCTTTTTACAGCCAGCAATCAGCTGAAGACCTTGCAAGAGTACCTGCTAATTCTACCAGCAATATCTTGAATAGGCTATTACTCAGCTATGATCCCAGGATAAGACCTAATTTCAAAGGTTTGTCAGATATTTCTGCCTTTTTATTTGATCCTTGTAATTTAACATGTTTTTATGCACAGAAAGTGTATATAGAAATGATATTCACAACTGTTTCTGAGATGAAGACTTTACTACAAGCTGTAACTGTAGGAGGTATTTACAGGTTTTTTTTAAGCTGAAATATATAGGGATTTCAAGATAATAATACTGTCTGATGCTTTATTATTATTATTAAATTTTTCTAACAGATTTTTTCAGTTGAGTTAGATTTTTGTAAAATGCATTTTTAAATATGTCTTTATTGCTCCATTTTAATCAGGCTTTAGCAGTATCCTCGCTTTACAGTATTTTAAACCACTTACCTTCTCTATAGGGGTCCTTTAAGATAAAATTTTGAGAGACCAGCAGTTTTGTTGTTTGGAAATCATGCAAAATTCAGTTTGGAAGATGTGTTAATAATACTGCTTATGAGGTTTGGGATTTCAAATAGGTGATGAGTTTATGCACGTGTGATTCTGGGATACGTTGTTGTAGGCAAGTGTTGTAGGAATGTTTCATGTAGGCAAATGTGATTTCCTTTCATATACAGAAAAGGCTGAAATACATATACTCTGCAAAACCTCTAGTAATCATACAGCTGCAAATTGTACTTTCCAGGAATTAGGTTATTTTCCTGATAGAAAAAAGACAGCAATTTTATTATATTACACACATTGAAGTTTATATAAATCGATTCTTTGTACAGCTTAATTATATTTAGGTTAGGAGTTACTGTAATGTAGCAATAGCATGAGAACTTTGGAAATCTATAATCTTTATTGTGCTTTTGAAGAGACCAGTTTCAGATTTCAGATTCTATCTGAAGCTTTATAACTGCATTAAACTCAATTCTCAGCAGGTTACCTGCTTCTTTCTTATTCTCTGTGGAGTCGTATTCATTTGTTTTCAGTGCTGAATTTTGTCACAAAAAATAAATGTCCATCCTCTGTTCTGTCTGCTCCTCAGCACAACAGGCTTGTAGCCACTGGTAGAGCATATTGCAGATTGATTTATATTTCTGATATCCCTGATGGCTCTGTGGTAAGAATTGAGTCTGAAGAAAAAGAGAGGGCATGTAATGTTTGCTTACAGAGAAGTGGGGAAGAAAGAACAATTTCTGACAAGTGATTTGCCTGTGTTAAAATGTTCCTCACACTTGACTGGCTTCCTTGGGCTGTAGTTCCTATTCAAATCTGGTCATGATTCCTGGCTACCAGTGGTGCAGTGGGTTTGCAGTTTGAATTTACGTCTTATACATACATACTCTGGGATATTGTACGTAGGTGAGCAAACTATTAAATATGACATTACTTTATAATATAGTTATTCTCTCTGTCCAGATAGTCTTATACAACTTTTTTACTTCTGAAAATAGAAAGAATTCCACCAAGCTAAGCAGACAACAGATGCTTGTATCCAGTGTGTGCACTGACACTCAACATACAGGTGCTAAATAAAACTAGTGGACCATGATTCTCACAACCATCAGGCCACTACCCCCCACTTCATGATAGCCCTCTGTTAACACCAGATAGATGGCTGCCTATCCATTCCCGCAGGGTGACAGAGGGCAGATGTAGCAGCTGTCACACCAGCCCTTTTCAGCTACAGTAATCCTGGCTGTGGAAAAGAGACAAAAATCCAGTCCATCTTGATATCTTCACAGCTGCTGGCTTCTCAAAATTTTTCTTGCCAAATTGGTAATCGTTGTAAAATGGAGCAGCCTTCTGCTTCTCTCCCTCTCGTGCGAGGTGGCTGTGAAAGCTGCATGAAACAGTTTTTATCCCCCTGTGTGTACACTGCTACATTTATACACTTGACTTGCACAAAGAAGTATCCTCTTACAGTGTAAGTAAATGTGTCATCATAAATCAGAAACAGTTATTTGGGATGGTAGATCTTTGTTATATCTTTGGCAGTTGAATGTGTCCACTGCTAGAGATGTGAATTGCATTGCATGTAAAAATAATAGTGGATGGTGCATTCCGTGATAGCAGAAGATCATGGAATTTGGAAATGACTCATTGATTTATGGTCAGTGAAATGCTTTAAGCTTGGTGCTCTGGAATGAGGATTTTTTTTTTCTGTTATATTATGAAAATGATTCTCATGGTTTCCGTGCAAGCAGATTGTACTGTAGCTTTTGAAAACAAAATAGATATTAATTTGAAAATACAAAGCTACAAAAAATATTTCATATTGTGATACCACTAAAAGGAAGGATAATGTACCTTTGCTGGGTTGTGCAAATGACTAGAAATCTTTTCTTTTTAAAGGAATTCCAGTCGATGTGGCGGTCAATATCTTCATTAACAGCTTTGGGTCAATTCAGGAGACAACTATGGTAAGACTGAAATGAACTGAATGCAGCACACAAGCAGATTTTCTTACTCAATGAAAATTCAGGCTGAGGATTACGAAACATAAACTGTAAATGATTGTTTTGACTGCACAGACTGAGAAGTAAGGTAATGGGACTAGTGTTGGACTGTGCCTTTTGCTGTAAATCTGTGAATCTATTTAATTCTTTCTTTTTTTGGTCACAGGTTGTCATAACTTTTAGGATCTGTTGTGGGTGAAAGGTAGATGAGTGCAAAATGAACATACATGCAAAGATCTCAAGCATTTATGTAGAAAAGCACTATCTGATATTTTGGGACTTGAAGATCTTTTTACAATGACTTTTCCAATAAATACTGTGAAGAATATTGGGGGAAAAACAAACAAACAAACAAACCACATTTCATTATTGAAGGTATTATGAGGCAGGCTAGGTTTTTCTGTTGTTTCAAAAACAAAGGAGAGTACAGTTTGTTTTGTCAGCATGTGAGAAGCCACAGCCAGGGCATATACTCAGGCTCTGGGGTCCCAAGGCAGTCCCACACCATCCACTGAAGAAATGGGTGCAGTGCTCTGCTGTGTCCATTGCATGGGGGCAGTTCCTCAGATCTGGTTGCTTGTCTACTCCTGTGGCTAAGGCAATATTCCTCGTCCCAATGGCAGAGAAATAATAAACTATAATGCAGCTAATAAATAATAAAACACCTTTTGTTGCACATCCAAGCCAGTACCTGCTTAAAATTCAGAGCCAGCTCATGTGTTACCTTTAATGACATTTCAGTGAGTTGCTCAAGGTTAAACAGATGCAATGGCTGAAGTAACTTTTTTTTTTTGAGCAGCTTGGCCATTTCATCCTTTTATTGCTAGGAGTGAATAAAGGATTTAGATTTGATTGGAAATGATAGTAAGTCAGCTAATGGTATTAGCAGGAAGTGATGTTAGAACAAAGAATGTAAGATGAAGATATTTTGAGATTTATTTCTTGAAAACAAAAAGAGGACTGCAGTTTAAAGGAGCAGGCAGGAAAAGCAGGAAAGTAGGAGTGAAATGAGTATCTAAAATGGCAGGTATATTAAGCCAGATGGCCCTTTCAAGTTTTTGAAATTTATTACATGCTTTAAAAAGTGACTTTTACAGAGGCTTTTTTTACAATTAACCACATCCTAATAGTAACAGAACATGAACGTAAGGCGCGTGCGTCTCTCCAAAAAATGAAGTATCCTCTCTACAGCAATGCATATAGGCCTGCCTGTGAATTCCTGTCCAGTCATTCACAGATTTTACTAGCATGTTGCATAAGGTAGTCATGCTCTCCTACATATTTTAGAGCTTCAGAAACCACCCTCATTTTATGCTTTTATTTAGATTTCTGTGTGTAGCCGATCGCTGTGATGCCTTGGTTCACAAGGGCTGAACTTCATATTTCCCTTCCTTATCTCATGTAATAATAATGTTTCTCCATCATCTGAGTTTGATGGGGAGTCTCACACATCAAGGGAATGAATCATTCTGCAAAAGACTACATGCTTGGACAAGTTGCACAGTCTGTTTCAGCTGAAAACAAGAGGATCATAACATGGAAGTCAATATATCAAAGCAGAGATGGAGCAGGACACAGAGGTGGGTGCTGAGACAGGCACATGATTCATTCTGAGTTAAAACAGGGAATAAAACTGTGGCTAGACTGAGAGCGAGGAAGGCATGCAGATAAGTTAGTGGGACCAGAACTCTGCAAGCCTGTCCCCTGTGGGCACGAGGATTTGTCTGGTAGCATCTCAGACTGCTTTATCAGTGTCAGTGAACTTTGACTGGCCAAGGACATGGGAAATAATTGTATGTCTTAATGTCAAATTCACTCTTTGGCTCCTTTGGTGAAAATCAATTACTTTTGCTTTCTATCCTTATTGTCCCGGTACTGTTTACGTTCTTAGCTACGCAGTTTGCTCTTCACCAACGAAAATAGAGTGGTTGACTGCCTGCTGAGGTAGTACTTTGCTTTAGGAGAGAAAGGGTTTTGTTGTAAAAATGTGTTGACAGGTTAGAAGGAAGATTGGTGGAGACATAGCATTGACCCTGTGCCCGTTCTATACAGTTCTAATCAAACTTGTGCAAAAAATGAAGGGCAAACGATTGCTCCGTTTCTAGCAAAAGTAGAGTTCGGGTTGTACTGCTGAGTGCTAGAGACAATTGCCTCATGTTCCCACATGTATCGAGCAACTGGAAAAAAAGAACAAAAACTAGCAACTACAGAGCGAGTAAGAACTTTTACAGCTAAAATAGAGAAGGGCTCATACCTGAGCTGCTACTTTCAAGTAAGCTCCCTTTACCTGAACTCCTATAACTTGCTCTGGTTTTGCAGAGTACTTGTCTGGGATCCCCATGGCAATTCTTCCAATTTTTCAGAGATTGTTTTAGAGTGCAGATTTATAGGGTAATATAGGGATTATGTTGCACTTCAAAACTGTTAAAGTCAGGGATTTCTAGAGGTAGATCCATTCTTTTATAAATATCCATAAGGCTATAATGTTTTAGCTGTACTAAGGATGTGATCTTCTGTCTACAATGACAATTCATTCTTAAGGTTTGTATTTGCAGTGTAACCTTTCTTTTCTCAAAGTCCACCTCCTTCTTCTCCTTTAATTTCAAACCTTACAGAAAAGTCTTCTTAATGTTCATGCTCTTATTTCACTTTTCTTCTTTTAATCCTATGAATGCAATTCTCTACTTTGCTAATCTGTTAAAAGACGGCACTCTACGACTATTCTGTTTAAAGAGAGTGTTACTACGCTTGCTTTCTTTGTATCATTGTAGGTCATGTAGAAAAAGCCTTTCACGATCTACTGTGTGCTCCAGTTTTTAGAGAGAGAAGTATTGGCTATGCCTAGCTTCTGGCCTGAGGAGTTTTTCTGGCCACGTGCCCACTGCTTTTAGTAGGTTGCATTTGAAATATTTCCTAGAAGTCCTCCCCTTTCGGCTTCCCTTGAAAACAGCTTGCCTTCTGTTGGAGTTTCATGGGAAAACAAAGCCCTGTAGAACACTTCAGTGATTCTTTTTGCCTTCCCTGTTCTCATTGCCCTAATGGTAATGAATGATTTTTTTTTTTTTTTTCCCCTAGTGTCTGGCTTTTAAATTGTTATTTGACTCCCTTTTACTTTAAAATATTGGCCATTCTGCAATATTCAAAAAACATCTGTAAAATTCATGGGAGGGAGACCATGTGACTCATCCAGACCACTTTTTCAAGCCTACATTGAACCTAATTGCAGTACAAGTACTGAATCTGAAAATTCATTACTCAATTTTGGAAAAAGTCTGTTCCCAGTCCTCTTAAATTTGATTTGTACCAGATCATAGCCCGTACTTCTGTCATGTGCTGTAATAGTTTGTATTCTGTTAAATAAAACCTTTGTGCGTATTATTTTCTGTAGATACAGAAGTCTCCTGACATCTCTTAATTAAACATTCTTCATAGTACCTCAACTACATGGTTGCCATCCTCCCCAGGTGAATGCTCTATGAGAAGTTTCCAGTCATTTGTGTAGATCTGAACCTCCTTGTTTTAGGCTAATGGGAATTCTCTTCCACTGACTGGAATGGGAACAGAATCAACATCTTAAACTGCCACTAATCTAATAGGTTTATTTGACTTCCTTTGTAATAGAAAAAGGAAGGAAGTGAAGTAGTGTCCACCTGATCTTACCACCAATTCCTATTTTGACAGTGGATTTTGATTTTCTGTGATTTAAACATCTCCTGAATGGCTAAACTGAAGGCAAGTGTTGGAGAGTGCTTATCATTTGCTTATGGCTGTGAGAATACTTTTGATTTTGTTAAAACAAGGATAATGCACTTGTTCATGAGAAAATTGATTTTTATGTAATGCTTATAAGTCTGAACAATGTACAGGATTTGTATGGTTTAAAATAAATGCTTCCACTTGGACATGAAGTCCATATGGAATGGGGACTTCAGAAACAAACAAGTAAATTTTGAATTGTATCAATATAGTACATTCTGAGATGATGACCTGAATTCCCTCATGCTCTGAAGCTTTTCTGTGGAAGCCTTCCAACTCTAAGTCACTTTGAATTGACTACTATTTTATGCTACTTCTTTACTTTGATGTAATAATAGAGGTCTTTGAACAAATAAAAATCTGACTACATCTATTCTTTTTTACTTCCAGAAACAGACTGCCAAAAAGTAACAGTTCTCTCAGAACTATGCATATTAATAGATGTTGCCTGAGATCTATCTGTTTAATTTTGATGCTTTGGTTTTTGTTATAATGCAGTGGGGAAAAACATTACACAGTCTATTGTAGTAAAAAAAAAATACCTGGGCTGGATATGGGAAGGTGAGCACAGGGGATTAACAAAGGGAAATCAGTAGGGTAAACTACTCTGCATGAGATCTTAATCAAGAATTAACATAAGTATCTCAACATGGCACTTGCTTTGGACTGTAAATATACAGCTTATAGCAAGTACTGCAGAAGAGAATTCACAATATATCAACAGAAAAATGCCTAAGAAGACACTAGCTTGTACACTACATTCTTAATTTTTTATGTTGAGTTCACTGACAAATCAAGAATATGTCATGAACCATCACTCACAGATACCTGCCTTCATTTATGTAATTGCAAAGCACTAGCAGGCATAATCTCAGGATGCTTTGTGCCTAATAAATAATTACTTAAAAAAACCAACAAAGTAACCACGCTATAAAATACAGCAAGGCAGACTAGAGATAGATTTACCTTAATTATAGAATCTGACTTTATTTTTGTCTTTTACTTTGTTTTAACAATACTTTTATTCCTTGCTCTGTATGTGATCTGCCTGATTTACGTTTGCATAAAAAAGAAGCATTCGCTTAGATGTAAATCTGAAAAGCAGAAAGATGTAGATGCAAGACTGAAAAATCCTAACTGACATAGTAGGTCAGATTTTTCTTTTGGATGCACACAGCTTTCACTGAGGACAGCGTGCGTGTGGGTTTCGTTCTGCTCTGAGACATGTGCTACTCCAATTCCCAGTGGCAACATTTGCTTCTCATTGGGCATGGTTCTACTACTGTCCATCCTTGACTAAAACTCCTCCTGAATTTGGAAAAAAGTTCCTTCTATGTAATGTCTTGATTTACTCTTAATTTTTGTGGCCTGTTCTGTGCCTGTTTTCACACAAGCTGCCTTAGGCCTTATGTTGTACAGTCATCAATTTTCCTACTGAAATAGCCCCAAATCACTATTAGAGGTCCCAAGGCTGTATTCTGTGTTTGCAGTTTAAAGTCTGCTGTCTTCCTGGTCTGTTTTCTGCTTTTATGGTGTGGCATATTGCCATCACTATGCCATTTAACGAACTGGAGAATGCTTTTATAAGGTGTTATATTGCCATCAGCATGCTACTTAACCAATTGTATAACAAACAGGAGTTTATACTTCCAGGATTTGCTGATAGAAGTGATGCTGTGTTAGCAGCTGCAGTAAATCAGCGTAGTTGAACTATGGCTTCCTCTGTGCTGCTGCCTACTTTTCTTTATGCCTGTGTAACATGGCTACTGTCAGAGGGGATGCGGAAAGAATCCTGGGAGGAAAATCTGCTCCTTTCCTTTAAAAAAAAAAAAAAAAAAGTTTTTTTAATCTAAATCTGATATCTACCTATTATTAGTAAATTGCATTGAAATTACCACGTACTAAAGCTGCTTGAATGGTGATTCATGCCTACCTTTGTGATAGAAAAATCAAAGCATAAATTGTTTTTCTTCTGTGAGTCTGATACAGTGGTGTGAGTCTGATACAATGGTATTCTTTCCCCATGATTGTCTTTTGTTTAGACTTTTGTCTGGTCTAATTCTTACGTATTCTTCCCATCAGGATTACAGAGTGAACATCTTCCTAAGACAGAAGTGGAATGACCCCAGACTCAAACTGCCCAACGACTGGAGGGGTTCAGACACTCTGACAGTGGACCCAACAATGTTTAAATGTCTTTGGAAACCAGACTTGTTCTTTGCGAATGAAAAAAATGCTAACTTCCATGATGTCACTCAAGAAAATATCCTTCTGTTTATATTTCGGGATGGAGATGTCCTAGTCAGCATGAGGTATTTTATTGATAAATTCATACTCTTTCTGACTTCGGTCAGTTCATGACTTGATGGGAGATAGATGTACTGTTAGACTTAATAATGCAGTTTTTGATTAAAATTTAAACATATATGGCAATTTTAAAACAATGCTGTCAAAAATGAAATGTGTGAAAATAAATCCGGAGATGTTGCAAAGCACGTAGGTTGATAGCACAGGAAGTACTAAAATTTGACATGTTTGTATGTTAATATATCATGTTAAAGTAACATTAAGTAGGCTAGTACTAGTAACAGCATTAAAACTTATACAGTTATCTAGATTTTTAGAAGCATAATGAAGTGAAAGAAGGTTGTGCTGTCATTCACCAAGACCTGGACAGGCTGGAGGGTTGGGTGGAGTAGAACCTTATGGGGTTCAACAAGGGCAAATGCAGAGTGCTATACCTGGGGAGGAACAACCACATGCATCAGTGCAGGTTAGGGGCTGACCTGCTGGGAAGGAGCTCTGCACAGAAAAACCTGAGTGTTCTGGTGGACAGCAGGTTGGCCACAAGCCAAGCCAGTATTGTGCCCTGGTGGCCAAGAAGGCCAATCGGAGTGCACTAAAAAGAGCTTGGCCAGCAGGTCAAAAGAAGGCGATTCTTCAACATTAATGAGGCTGCATCAGTTCAGGGAAGTTCCCCAGTTCAAGAAAGACAGGGAACTTCTAGAAAGAGTCCAGCAGAGGGCCACAAAGATGATTAAGGATGTGGACCATCCCCATTATGTTTTAGCAGAGGAGTTGGACCAGTGGATCTCGAGCTCCCTTCCAGCTCCTGTGATATTTGGAGTAATTCCTTCAGCAAAGTAACATAATTCTCACCACCTGAATTTCTATGTTAACTAGTGCAAACAAGGATTATCTCCTACTGATTTAAAAAAAGGCTGAAATTTAAAAAGTGAATGTAAATGTTTTGTAAAAGTACTAGGACGTGATCCCAGTTAAGATCTATGCTTTACTCAATGTAGATTTTTCAGAGGACCTCCTTAAATATTTAATTTCATTGCGATGAATGCATACTTCTTTGTGTTTTTGCTTTGTTTATGATAATGATAGTATTCTATGCCATAAAAGCAACGATTCGTTGTAAACAGCCAAATTTTTTAATTAAAAGGAATATAATGAAGATTTACAGCCTATAGATGCAATGATTTGCAGAGATTAGGTTCACTTTCTAACAGTTTTTTTTTTTTTTTTTTTTTTTTTTGCATAAACTGAAACATACCACCAAAATGCAGGAAAAAGTTATTTCCCAAAAGCACTGTAACTTTACCATTAAGAGGGGACAACTTTTGAAATTATGAATACATGAGGTTTTTATTTGCAGAGTGGAAGTGGTTAGAAAGAAGAAAGAGGATAGGAGAGTCTGTGTTTGTTTTTTTTTGCTCATTCTAGATCAGGATGAGAAAATTAAATCTCAAGACTTTTGCAGATGGAGGTCAGAAAAGGAATCATAGAATCAAATGAATTGGACAGTGTAAGCATTTCATTTGGCTCATTCTGAAGGTCCTGTTCTGATTACAGCTGTTTATCTAGCAGTTTTTGAAGTCTGTAGAAATTAATATTTCAAAATAGAAAATCACTTTCAGCTACAGAAGCAATTTTGATTTTAAATATGAAAATTTAACAGTTGGAACTTCTTTGAGGTTTTTCCACGTTGTAGCCATTTAGAACAGCTAGGCAAATAGGAACTTTTGGTGGTTGATGTTGATAGTTGAGGTGACGTCTCAGGGATCTTGAATGGCAGATAAAGAGCTGATGGACATTGATTATTCACTTTCTTTTCCAGTAGAATAATCGTAAGGCCAGGGCAGATGAAAGGAGACCATTAGTGTGTGTGAAGGATAGTGTTCTCCTTGTTGCAGGATGCTTTGTATAAATAAAGTTTACATAGTAAATTCAAGAAAGCAACAGGAAGCTTCTTGAAGGAAAAAAATTCTGTCAAGCTGTCTTAAATAAAGGAAGCATCACTCACTTCTGGTTTAGGAAGGCACAACTTAAAGGAGGCTGCTGGAAATGTGGGAGAATGTCATTTCCTCATTGCTGTGGTCTAATATTCTTCTTCAGAAGTCTCCCACTGTCCACTGCTGGAGACAGATTTCTTTTCAGTGTGGACCTTTGGTTGAGTTGTTCTTAAAAATTATGTCTTTTGCCATGTACTAGTAATCCTCTAATTTGTGAAATTCTGTATGTTTAACACTGCATTATTAAACTACTAGAGGTACTTAAGTTTCTGATCAGATTCCCAAATTTTGAAGTGCTATTTACTATAATTTCTGTTATTTTTCTTCTACTGTTTTGGAAACTGAAAGTCGAATACCTAGGATTTTCCTTTTTCTTAGTGCAGTCTACTCCTTACATGACAGCTCACCCTATCTTTAAATTCTATTTCTGTATTTTTAGATTGTCTATTACTCTGTCATGCCCTTTGGACTTGACCTTATTTCCTATGGATACACAGCGCTGCAAGATGCAATTGGAAAGCTGTATGTAAATTCATCTTTGCCTAAAAACACATTTTGTGATGAATCTTGAAATGAATATTCACTGATTCCCACCAACGTAAATTTCCCCATGAAAAACGTTTCTTATGGTTGTGTCACCATGCACCCTGATTCAAGCTTCTGCTGTTAAGCACAGTGACAACTGCTTAGTATTACAAAAACAATTGCTATAAGCTTAGTAAAACAGGAATACGTATCATTTGGAAAAAAAGAATCCACAGTTTCCCCCGGTGGTTTTAACTTCCATAACCTGTGCTTTTTTGTGCATGGTCAGGGTCCATTTTATCCCCTTGCGTTGATGACGCACCGTGTCATTTGTAACTCCTGAAGTACTGGAAGAAAAGAAAATTACTTGATGCCAATATTTGAGAGCTTTTAGTATGCAACCTTTTCAAAATGTTTTCATGATTTGTTGTGGATGTGGGCAGGCATATCTCCCCTACTAGTCCTTTTTTGGTAACCTGGTTATTTGATCTCACAAAGGGGCAGACAGGTCTCATCTGTGAAGGCTTTCATGCCATGCTGGAAGTTGCAGCCGAAGTGCTTCTGAAACCCATCTTCTTCCCTGCTCTCCAAGTACAAGGGCATCTATTCCAAAAGTCCTGTAGTTCCATCCTTGTTGATCCTACTTTCCTGGCCTTTTGTTTCAACTAAGGATGAGTGTGATGCAGGGAAGGAAGGGTGCTTCCTCCAACCTGTTCCTGCTACAATACAGAAGCTTTATTCTGTTGTTACTGCCCCAGATCTGCTGAGGAAGCTGAGATTAAGGAAGGAAAGACAGAAGCAAGGAAACAGCAAGATTAAACAAAGCTGAACAGGAGAGCCTGGTGATGGCCAGGTAGTGATAATGATCAGAGCTATACAATTTAGTTTTTGATTGACAGCATTTACCCTTACAATTCTAATAAGACCATAGTGTTAGAGTTTTAGTGTATGCCCACTGTGCATATATTAGCTGAATTAAACTTGTATGGTAAACCCAAACAAATTGGTGGTTAATGTGAAAGTAATGGAAGTTGGCTCAAACTTTCGCAGTCTGGGTTTCTCTACAAGTATGAAAAAGTACAATTTTTCAAGGGAGAACTACTCATAAAAAGTTGCCAGTAACTTAATCTGATCAACCTTACTGTCTCTCTCCATGCTAAGTTGATGTATGTAGATTAGGGTGCAGAAATGCATTTTCTGCTCCTCTGGAAAGATAGTGTGAACTGAACTTTCTTCTACCTTTTTATTCCTTTGACTCCTACGGCTCCCAGTCTGTCTCCTCCAGTTCCAACAGTGAGCTTGCTTTCTCTGTTATCCATTGGTGGCTTTATTTCAATATGTTCAGTTCAAATTTTTGTCTTTCTGGTTGTTAGATTTCCAAGATGAAGCAACCAGTTTTTATTAAACAGTTCCTTGTGTGTATGGTTATGATCACTAGTTCAGCACATTCCCAATGGACAAGATTTTCAGTGCCCATTAATTATATTATAAAAGATCTCGGCGGCTTTGTGATTTGATAAATGTTGTAAAGAGGTGAAACTGATTTTATGAATTGATCTTTAATACAACTCATTTTTTGATATTATCTTTTAGCTCGGAGCTTTGAGGTGTGATTTTTATTAGGTTGTTGTTGACCTTAAAGAAGTTGGCTAATGAACGATTTAACTTTTTGAATGGCATCTATTTTTCAACAATAAAAACAGTTTATTTAAATCCTCCAAAACAAAAATGGTTCTTTAAACATTTCTGAGGCTTAGAATTACAAAACGTTTCCTACCAGCTCAATCCCCAGCTTTTTTCCCATATAAAGCACATTATCTTTGAGCAACCTGGTCTAGAGGGAGGTGTCACTGTCTATGGCAGGGGGTTGGAACTGGATGATCTGAAAGGTCCCTTCCAACCCAAACCATTCTGTGATTCTCTGATCTCTGTGTGAAGTTAATTCTTAATAAACAGAAAGTAACAGAAAAACGGCATGTAAAATCATGACTATAAGTGTGTATTTATTTAATACTGTGTTATGCTTGTGTTATGCTAGTGCTGTTGTATAAATCATGTTTTAGATGTATGCTGGGGTCTCTCCATATTCAGGAGATTATGATGGTGCTGAGGCACTGACTTGATTTCAATAGGACTACATATCTACTTGAATTTCTTGTCATGTATTTCCTAAAGCACAGTGATTTCATAAATCAGGGCTTTTAATCTGAACAACTAAGTAGAAAGGTTGTTTTACACAAAAGCCAAGTAATTAGGTAATCAGGAAATTAGTAGGTGCAGCGTTAATTTCTGTTGCAGTTACTTGGACTTTGAGTGTAGCTAAAATTCAGTATGTTTTTCATGCTTTAGTGAAGTGGAGTATGAATGATTATGCAAACTTTAAAGCTGTGGAATCTAGAGCGCTGCTTTATTTGTTTGGATAGTGATTTCTGTAACAAACACCTCTTAATTGTTGTAATATTGCCAATAATATAATATCCAACCTGGTAAATCTTAATATAGAACTACATAAAAATTCAGTTGTGGATTATCTCATTTTTTTTCCTAATTCTTTGAAATACAAAAAAAGGAAATACAAAAAAAAAAAAAGTACATACACGGTAGATTTTATTGCTGAATTTACTTTGCTTAAAATGGGACATTAAATAATAACAATAATTTTCTTCTTGTAGTTGGTTACACAACTGATGACTTACGCTTTATCTGGCAATCTGGAGATCCTGTACAGTTAGAGAAAATTGCTCTGCCTCAGTTTGATATTAAAAAGGAGGATATTGAATATGGTAACTGTACCAAGTACTACAAAGGCACAGGTAGGTGATAGAAGTGCTTTTCATGGTAAAAACTGTAAGCTTCCTTCTGTTATTGTTTATGGATAATGATTTATATTCCAGTACACATCTTACATTTTTATTGGAGGAAGTGGGTTAATTTTAGCTAACCTGTAGTACATACCATTGTAAGAATCACATATAATTACTGCAAACTAATTCAAATACATAAAGTCTAGATTGAAAATTAAATGGAATTGAATGTTTTTTTCTTGATTTGGCTTACATGTCTCCTGATCTCGCCATTGCCATTTTGTTTCTATAGTCTGGGTAATTTTCTATTCTTGTAAGCACTTTTCTAATGGGCAGTTCATTTAGAATTGTGCTACCTGCAGCAAAGTAGGGTAATTTGGGTTTTCTCGTTAAACGTTTGTTCCAAAAATTGATAGTATTAGAGTGTAACTTTAAATGTTTCTTCCTGCAGGTTCTTCTTTCCTGTAAGTTTTCTTGAAATGTGTCACTGTAGAAAGCTGTTTGCAGTCCTCAGCTCTGTATGATTCAGTCCTGAGATTGTATTTGAGCGTGGACAAAAAATTTCTCCAGAGCTTTCTGGCTTCTAATGATTTATCATTTCTACTTTGATTAATTAATTTCTGCCTATAATTTTATCCAAACTACTCACATTCCGTGGCAACCCCAAGACTTTTCGTAACAACTGAAATCAGCAGTGTGTGTTTTAGTCAGTGCTATTGCATCATATGCACAAATCTCCCTTTAAAATGAAGATGGCTGTGGCACTGAAGCTTTTCTGCAAAGATCCTTTTCTAGTTTCTTGCTGACCATTCAGCTGCAGTTGAGAGTCTGTTACTTGCAGTTGTTTCTGAGCTAGATCCCAAGTGTGAAGAGATCTCAGGTAACCTTTATGTAGCTTGGAGTTAAGGAATTTAGTTTGAAAGAGATAATTAAAATTGAATGTATCTGCAAAATGAATGAGTTCTTAGCTTACTAAGTACATAATTCCATATCTCAGATTATTTACATTTGAAAGTAGTGTGAAATTACATCTCCTCAGAACAATGCTGTATTGATGAAAGCACAACCAGCATTGGTATTTAAATCCAAATTTGGAAATGATAAGAGGTTTCTTAGCAGTGAGAAAATTATTTTATTCTTAAATAAGTAATGAGTTTACTGAAAAATTAGGCTATGAAGTCGTGGAAAATTAAATAGATTGATTGATTTTGCAGTTCCCAAGTAAAATTCATAAACATGGGAAAATTGGATGTAACACAAAGAGACTTCCATTTCATTCAAGGGCAGAAAGGAACACTTACTCCAAATTGCTATCTTGTAATTGTGTTGTCAAAGTTAGCATAATGATGTTATGTTTTGTCATAAACCTAAGGTTAAACATCTAAAAAATTGATATTTGTGCATCTTAGTTATTTTTAGGATTTCTGGAATCTTAAAGATAAATTTAAGAATTAATCATTACATGCTTTACAATGAAACAGATGTACAGAGGGTGGTGGTCAATGGCTCTGTGTCCAGGTGGAGGCCGGTAACAAGTGGTGTCCCCCAAGGGTCTGTCTTGGGACCGGTGCTCTTTAACATCTTTATTAATGACATCGATGAGGGAATTGAGTGCACCCTCAGCAAGTTTGCTGACGACACCAAGCTGAGTGGTGCGGTTGATACGGTGGAAGGAAGGGATGCCATTCAGAGGGACCTCGACAGGCTGGAGGGCTGGGCTCGGGTGAACCTGATGAGGTTCAACACGGCAAAGTGCAAGGTTTTGCATTTGGGCCGGAAGAACCCCAGGCACCTGTACAGGCTGGGAGGAGCGGTCCTTGAGAGCAGCTCGGCAGAGAAGGACCTGGGGGTCCTGATGGACGAGAGACTGAACATGAGCCAGCAGTGCGCTCTGGCAGCTCGAAAGGCAAATGGGATCCTGGGCTCCATCAGGAGAGGGGTGGCCAGCAGGGACAGGGAGGTGATTGTCCCTCTCTACTTGGCTCTTGTGAGGCCCCATCTGGAATACTGTGTCCAGGTGTGGAGCCCTCAGTACAAGAAAGACATTGAGATTTTGGAAAGGGTCCAGAGGAGGGCGACTAAGATGATCAGGGGGCTGGAGCACCTCCCCTATGAGGACAGGCTGAGGGAGTTGGGCTTGTTCAGCCTGGAGAAGAGAAGGCTGCGGGGTGACCTCATTGCAGCCTATCAATACCTGAAGGGAACCTACACCCAGGAGGGGAGTAAACTCTTCAAAAGGGCTGACAACAGCAGGACTAGGGGAAATGGTTTTAAGTTGAAGGAGGGAAGATTTAGGTTGGATGTTAGGGGGAAGTTCTTTACTAGGAGAGTGGTTAGGCCCTGGAACGGGCTGCCCAGGGAGGTTGTGGATGCCCCGTCCTTGGACGTGTTCAAGGCCAGGTTGGACGGGGTCCTGGGCAACCTGATCTGAATGTGTATGTTTGATGGCCCTGCTAGGCAGGGGGGTTGGAACTACATGATCCTTGGGGTCCCTTCCAACCCGGGTGATTCTGTGATTCTGTGAAACTGGAAAGAAAGCCAGCGTTGCTCTTTGAAGTTCCAACACCTTGTGACCACAGGTTAAAATGGCACTTTGCAAAGTGCTCAGCAAGATGGTCACATTATTGTGGGCACATGATTTGACCGTGAATGAAAAGATCATTAGAAGAACCATCAGACTGAGTGGAATTGCAACATTAAATTTAAGAAAGTTCTCGTAATTCTTTTATTGCTAATCCTTTCTGTTTAAAAATGAAAATCATCCATGTTAAGTCTATAATAAAGACTGGAGTTAATGCATTGTTAATGTGGATTGAATAGGTAAGTATGATGAAGTATTTTAAAGGCTGCTTTCAGGAATCAGGAGCTGTTTGATTTACCTTTAATTCTTATATTGAAAGAATTTCACAGTGCAGATATTCACATAATTAAAATTCTATTAAGGATTTTATAAGAAAAACAAAAGGCAATGTTGCAAGTACAAGCAAGTTTTCTAAGGTATGGCCTATGCAGGAGATCGTTGCCAATGGCAGAGAACTTATTCTTTTGGCCATTTACATCAGCTGATGTTTTATCATGCCTGTCTAAGTAGAGAGTCAATAAATTTGGAACGTCTATAACAATAATCTGAGTATTTAAGTTGCAAATAGCCTATTTCTCATTTACCAAAATGTATGACAGATCCAACAAGTTCTTCAGCAACTGAACAGTGAGAGCAGCAGATAATCTGTGTGATGGAAATGCCGCACAGAACGCATTTCTGGCAGAAAGCAAATAAGAAATGATGTTTACAGTCTCCCTTGTTTGAATGTAAAATCTAAAATTCCTAGAAATTAGTCAGAAGTTATACAACTAGAAAATACTGGCAAAGATAGAAGGCTGCAAAATACCATTTAAGGTCTTCTACACAGCAAAGGAGTATTCTCGCTTTTTGTTGTTGTTGTTTTCATTACTATAGGCTCACCAATATTTTGAAATGACTTGCTATTCTAGGATAGTTGTTTTAAAAAATACACAAGATAAGTAGATAATTTTTTCAAAGATTCTACGTTTGAAATTAGATGTACACCAATTCTTTTTTTACAGATGGACATTGGCTTGAGTTTTGATATTGTTCTAATGTAATTTAGGAATGCCTTCTCTTCATTACAGAATAGTTTCTGATGTATTCTTCTGTTATCTCCACCAAAATCCTAGTATCTGCTGCTTTACTTTTTGTTGAATTAATCTTGTTGAACGTTTTCTGAAGTGTTTGTATGTTTTAAAAGCTTTGCTGCAAAAAATTCAGCATGTTTCAATTTTAGGAGTTATCTATATCAGCTTTCAGTATTGGGGCATCTCTGCTTTGGGTCACTTTCAGATCACCTCTTTCCATTCTAACCTTTCTAAATAAATATGTTTTTATTCCGTCTTATTTGCAAATTAATGCTAAGTAGAATTTTCATATGAGTTTAAGCTCATACTAGCTTAAGCTGCTATGACTGCCAGATCCCATTGGTTGTAACTGGCCTGCATGTTGAAGCCTGATTCAAGATAAGGCTTGTGTCAGCTGCTGGTTGTTGACACTTTGTGAAAAGGGCAGAGGGTGCTCATAGATCACAAAGAGAACCACAGGTTACATCGATTTGTGTTTTGAACATATTTCAAATTAAATTATTTGCCTTCTGAAAGAAATTCGAACCGATGAACCTGTGTTCTTAAGCAGAAAAACGAGTAGAAGATAGTAATCTCAAGAGGTTGACCTGCAAAGCACATTAAACTTTAATATGCATTTATTTCTTTAAAGGTTATTACACTTGTGTAGAAGTAATCTTCACTTTACGAAGACAAGTTGGATTTTACATGATGGGTGTTTATGCTCCTACACTGCTAATTGTTGTTCTGTCCTGGCTATCATTTTGGATCAATCCTGATGCAAGTGCTGCAAGAGTCCCACTGGGTAACCTGCCTTCACATATGCTGTTACAGACCACTTAACACCATCAAGCCATTCTCAGTTGCTTTGACAACATGATGCCAGACACTGAAAGCAACTTCACTTTCATTATCCACTCATCTTTTTCACTGAAACCTCCTCATTCCTACTTGTGTAAAATCCACCCCCATATTGAAGCTTTGCTTGTTATGGTTCCTGTGCTAATGCAATGAGGACGCTCTCTCTGCTCCTCTGTACCAGGACAAATCTGGTCTTACCAGATCTTATTTGTGGTTGTTGTTGCAGGCACTGGGGCAGCATGTAGTGTGTAGGAACTTGAGCATTTGAAGAACTCTTGAAATAAGAAAGTAGGATGATGACTAAGAATCTAAATAGCTATCTCTTGTAGCAGGTTTTCTGAAGATTAATAGAAACTGAATGATGTTTGGAAAAGAATTAGCATCCTTGATTTCATTAGAGACTCAGTTCATGAACTATTTCAGCCTCTTGTGCTGCTCAGCACAGCACAATAGGCAGGCTGTTCGTTTGTTATGGGACTGTAGGACATGGAGTTAATCAAAACAATAGTATCTTATCTTCACTGTTTAATAGGGCGTGGGACTCCAGCTCTGGGGTGGGCCAGCCTGCAGATCACCAGAGCTCGGTGAAATGTGGAGCCAGGCTCTTGAATCTTGACATTGCTATGTGTAGTCCTATCCCCATGCCTTCCACAACCTCTCCTTCCTCATGCCCTGAACTCCTTGTCCTCACCTTTCCCTGACACTCCCACCTCCCCACTCCCTATTTTCCAAGTCTTCTCCACGTTCCCAGGAGATGTAGTTCAGCTGTTTTCCCATCCCACAAGGATGCAGTTTAAACATCTCTCCAGGCCCTGGCCTTTCTGAGAAGCCTCTCACCCGCACATTAACGTGCACATCTCATCTGGATATAAGTCCTGTGCAGCCTCACATGCATGAACACATGCTGAAAGCACTCGAGATCCTTAGAGGCAAGGTCTGCCTTGTCACCATCCCAGACTGATCAGTAGAGTCTGAAACTCCACGGAACAGGAAGGATTCCTGCCAGGTTTGTTAAGTTGAAATGTCCCTGCAGTTGCCTTAGTCTGAGCTGTGCTGCTCCACTTTCAGGACATCTACCATGTCTCTTCCTTCTCCATTGATGTGATTGCCAAAATAAACAAAGAGCTTGCACCAAGACTAAAATGCTGCTTTAGGGTTTTCTGCTGCAATTGGCTTCCTTTCTCCAATTAAACGTAATGAAAACATATTTCATTACATTTATTGTATGTATCTCTTTTACAGGGTACTGTTTCAGAATACGAAACAACTTCATTTTTCTTGATCTTTAAAAATACTGATAGTTTTTGAGGAGTAGTCACAATTCATATTAGTTTGATAGCGAGTAACAAATATACCAGAAAAACTACCTAAGGATGATTTCCATAGCATGAAACATAAGATGTTACATGAATGAAAAAAATCAGTCTGGAGAAATTATACCATGCCTTAAATTGAAAAGATAGAAATGAGAACTGGAGTTAGTTTTCATATAATGAGATCCAATATGATCAAAACCTTATCATTATAAAAGCATTTCTACTTTTATAATCCTGTGTTTCGAATAGCTGGCCAGTCAGGTTTATCAATTATATGTGAGATTTGTAAGAAGCATAGGGATGATTTATACAGCATGGATGTGTTTGTGACTAAACGCGCGTTCTTATTTATTTGTCTGTTTATCTGTTTTTGTGTTTTAAGTGTTTGCTTGTTCCTTTTATATATTGCCATGATATAATGCATTTTCAAAGATATTTACCATCGGCCTGGCTATGTAACTTTTCCTCAATCCCCAGAGAAGCAACAGACACTAAATCTGACCATCCTTTAGTCATGAGTCAGTATTTAATAATGCAAGTTGATAACACCATGGTTGCATTAAGATTTATGTTTCTCCAGTTTGCACGAGGGCAGCAAGCTGGCTCTTCTTTCTGCATCCTCAAAGAAAGTTGATCTTGAAATCTAACAAGATAAACATTTCTGTGTCAAGTGAATGTCTGCTCACAAGAAAGTGTTACCAGTTGTCATTACAATTGTAATGGTTTGTAAGATACCTCATTAGGTGAGAAGCTACTTCAGATTTGCGTATGAGTATCTTAATACAGTTGTCCTTACAGTTAAGTATAGTGGACCACTGTTGGCCATGCCTAGGAATCTCAGTAGTTTCTAGCTGATCTAGGAATGCAAGAACTACAAAGCTATTAGGTCACACAGTGGTAGGGAGCTCCACAAAGGACACGTATCTGGAGAGCTCTGGCTAAGTGATTTAAAGATGGAGTCATCAGGTGCTTCTTTCTAAATAAATGCTTGTGTTTCAGCTTTTAATGAGGCCTATGGAGGATTCTCCAGTTCTTTACAGGTGGAAAGTGTGCCAGCATCTGTTCAAAAAATTCCTGTCTTCAGTGCCGTGTGACCCCCAAAGGGAGTACAGCCTTCCCTGAGGCTGTAGGCATCTGAGGGACGTGATTTAGCGGAGGGTTGTTAGAGTTGGGGTGCTAGAGTGTTGGAGTTGGGGTTAGAGTTGGGGTGCTGACCTTGATGATCTTTAAGGTTTTTTCCAACCTGAGCAATTCTATGATTCTATGACTTCAGACTTCCAACCAGCCACAGTAGCCTGGAGTAATGGAGCGTCAGTCCAGGGTGTGAGAGTCACACAGCACACACTGCCTCCTGTGAAAGGGTGCTTGGGATACCGTGGAGGAACTAAAAGCTTGGGGAAGTGATGGGGGACATATCCTCCATATGTAACAGCCAAACATGCCCTCCATCCTGCCTGCACTCAGCTCTTAGTTCAACTCACTGCATTTTATGAAACCGCAGCAAATGCAGGGTTTCAAAGGAAAGACATTGAGATATATTTGAACAGTGTAGTATGAAGATTGGCAAGATTATGTCTTCTAGTTTACAAAGTTTAATGGGAGAAGTGGATGTATTGCAGATAACAAATTATGAGGAAAGTAGGATGGAATATTATGTTTTTCAATAACGTTTGTGAGATGGAGCCAGACATTTTTAAAGCAGTAATATAAAACAGAAAATGCTGTTTTATACAGCATAAAATTAACCTTTGTAACTCATTGCCAGCAGATAGTGCTGAGGCTAGTTAAGTTTGATAGATTTGGAAAAGGGAGATTTATTTATCTGGCAGTATGTTCTGAAGTGCTTTAGTGATATTATGCACATGTAACCTTTGGTAGTATTTTTAAGATAGGAGCTCTACGCAATCATGCTTTAGGCAGTGAGCTACTAACCTTCCTGATAGGGATAAAGAAGAAATTTCTGTGAGTGGATTAATTAGTTATTAGGTTCTTACGTCACTGAAATACGAATAGCATGTTGGCAGTGGGTCAAATCTTGTACTGCAGCTCCTGTAAAGTTAAACTCTTTGGTTATATTTGAGATGACTGAAGGCTGGATGTAAGTGACCTATTAAATGAAAGAAAGAGGATGTAGTTCCTGCCTCCGTGCAAAGCTGGCAGGTGGACACACTGTGCGATCAAGAGGGATCATGCTCTAGGGAAAAAAAATGCAGGCTTGTTTCTTAGAAAGGCCAGCATTCCCAAATTTGTATCGGAGATCTAAGGCCCTTCCCCTTTTTGTCCCTATGAAGAAAATGGAGATTTCCTCCCTGACGTACCACTCTCATTTTAATATTATTTTTTACCAGGTTATCTTGCAGCTTATTTATTCATTCTCCTCAGCTATGTTGGAGCTTTGCTATTTGCACCGTATTCAATAGCTACTGTCAGAAATGCAACTTACAGCTCTGGTACAGTGTCTCTGAGGCAAGGCCAGCTCTGATCTGCTTGGTAGAATATTTCTGTTTTATTTCAGTGTTGTCTTGAAAACATAAAAGATTTTCTTTAGTTTCTCTTGCTCAGAGAATGAAGGTTTCATCCTTCCAACAAATGGAAATTAGCAGCAGAAAGCTGCAGATAGGAAGAAGTGTCCTTTATGTGTTAAAAGACATCACCCTTTATATTTGCACTTTTTATGATGTTTCGCAGTGATCAATAATTAGTGTTCAGCCTGCCAAGACCAGCTGGTGTTGGTCATTGAAAATAAATAAGTAAATAAATAAAAAGTGAACTATACTTTTCTTGCTTCTTGTCCTTATGGATTTTTTACTTGATAGAGTAGTTCAGAAATAAGCCAGAGTAGAGACTAAGGTTTATTTGTTCGGTATTTGCCTTGTTCATTTTGACTCAACAGAAAACATCTGACCGTTCTTTGTTAATCACAATGGACAAAAAAAAACTAGCTTGACAATTATTTATTGATATCACACATTTTTAAATAAAACACCATAAAATTTTGTGTTTAAAATCATATAATTATTTACTTATACTTTCTCTTCAGTGTCTTAGCAGCTAATAAGTTGCCTGCTTGAGATCCATATCAAAGTAAGTTATCGATCGTATTGAATTCCAACTGGGACAGTAACGATAGAATGTTTGGTATTTATGATCAGCTAGAATTTCAGATTTTAGTAGGCCAGTATAAATGTTTTCAGCTTTATTAGTGTTCTTACATTTTCACTTACTTTAAATGGATCTAAAGAAAAGGTCTACAAAATAATTTTTCTAATGGTTTGTATAGCACATGTGACCCTTATGAGAAGCATCATTAAAGCTAACTGAGTATCTGCTCTTGAGCATCCCTTTCTATAGATGTCAGTTCATGAAGCTGCCCACTCATAACTGAAAATGATTTTTATCATTAGCATTCAGAAAAAAATTCTGATCTGGATGGAAATAAGTTTCTTCTGTGTGACAACCACTTTTAAACATCTGTGTTGTTTTTTTTTCCAAATGGAGCTACTATTCCCATGCACCAGGTGCCTGCGGGGAATCTGAGATCACACTTGTATTTTATTTCTTGTGATGTGAGTCCTGTGTTAATGGTGATGTTTGGAAGCTTTGTAAGGAGCAGTGCTTATTGAAACGTAGCTTTATGATGTGTGACCTTTCAGTAGCCTTTGTGGATGTACTTAAGGGCTTCTTCAAAAGCCCTTTAACTAGAAAGCTTCCTCTTTATACTGATAACTCAAGCAGGGGTGTTCATAGACCTTTGGTCAACTCAGTGTTTTCATCTTCACAGTAAGTTGTGAGCACAGACTTTTTAGGGTGCACTTTAAAAATAGTGCCCTGTCAGGTTTAAATGTTACGCTTGGGGATGGATCATTCAGAAAACTTCTGCTGTAGCACAGTGCTGGGACAGCAGTGATTCTTCAAATCTAATTTAAAGGACTTGGAGTTTTTTTGATTTAGATGCCATGTATTTCTCTTCTATCTTCCTAGAATTAGATGAATACTGTCAGTTAAGTCTCTGGAAAACCCATTTCTGATTGTATGATAAGTGTTGTGGCAGGAAAACCACAGCAGCTAGTTTAGCTTCATTCATTTCTCTGTTTGTAAAACAAAGATGCTCATTATTAATAATTTGTCACTGACAGTATCCTGCATAAGTGTTGAATTTTACTTGTTCATTAACTGCAGGCATGTACACACGTGCAAAATATACCTACCACTTTGTCAAGTCCCATTTGCTGTTACAACTCATCATTCAGCGTTGTCTGTTTCAGAAGAGGAGCACAGCAGGTGTTGATAAGGCTAAGTTTGTGTTAATTAATATTGTATTTTTCGTTCTGTAGGTATTTTCTCAGTGCTCAGCTTGGCATCTGAATGTACTACTCTTGCTGCTGAACTTCCCAAAGTGTCTTATGTGAAGGCCTTAGACGTGTGGCTGATTGTTTGCCTCCTCTTTGGGTTTGCATCATTGGTGGAGTATGCAGTGGTTCAGGTAATGCTAAACAACCCAAAGAGAATTGAAGCTGAAAAAGCCAAGATTGCCAAGGCAGAACAAGCTGAAGGAAAGGGTGGAAACACTGCCAAGAAGAACACTGTGAATGGCACAGGGACTCCTGTCCACATCAGCACTTTACAGGTAAGAGCTGCCAAGCTGTGTATGCAAAATCAGCATTATCCTATATTAATGTAGTTCCAGAAAGACACTGTTATAATAGTTTTGAACAATACATAAACTTACAGGTGGCCGAGGTGCTAAGAACATGCTGGTAATTAATGGCTGGCCATCTAAGCAAATGGTCCCTAACGATTTGGTGTCAGATGTGCTAAATGAAATGTTTATTTCTTTGTAATACCTTAGTACCGTACTTGTTGCTCAGCTTTAGATAAATAAAGAAGCAAGCAGATTTACAGTTGCTCTTTTTCTTTTAATAATAAATAGCAGCTGTCAAACTGTAACTATTGATAGGACAAGACTTTCAGTCAGTATTTGTTGAGAGCATACTCAAATATCAGCATCTCATTGCTTTTCTTGGAGCAGCCACAGCTGCACTGCATTGCATGTAAAGAATCTCTACAGCCAGGGATTCAGAAGTCTTGGCATTTGTAAATAAAAGACAGGTCTGTTTGTCTGTCAAACATTTCCTGCATTTCTTCTGTTGCTAGATGGAGTATGGCTAAATTGATCAGAGCTCATTCTATGAATAAAGATTAGTTCAGCATCTTAGCTTAGGCCAAAGTTTTGCGTATAACCTGAGAGTTATCAGACATCCCAGGCCATCTACCCTCAGTTCTGTGGAAGAAAATACATGATGCTACAGTATGTGGAATATGAATGTGTCTTACAGTTTTCAGTAGCTCTACAATTTAGATGTATAGAATAAAGGTATTTGGCCAGGATAGCAGAAACCCAGCCCTAGTGTAAAGCTGGCATTGCCTCCTTACTAATTACCCCCAGGTCAGAGAAGCTGCTGATGGCACAGAGCAGTGCACTTGACTACCATGATTCTCATCTGATAGAGCCTCCTAAGGACTGTTTTGGCAGACAACCAGATTGAGCAGCAAGCGGCATGGGAGCTTGTCCTATCCAGGAGTATAAAATGATGACTTTTGTCATCTATGCTATCATGTCATATTTTAATCTTTTTCTCCAAGAAGGTAGGTTTGAGTGCGCAGTTTATTTCTAAGCTTTGAGGAACACTAGTTATGATAAATGACTCAGAATCACATACAAAACATTTGTCTACAACTGAAGCACTTCCCCCAAAGCAGTGCGTTTTATTTTGGTAAGGTAAAGATATGACAGATTTCTCACAGCTTAGTGTTTGGATCACTGAGTCTATTTTTGGACGTTATAAATAAGCAGAATTACTTTTAGATTTTGAGCATCTCTAGGATGCTCGAGCATCTAGGATACTTAGCATCTTTCAAACAAATTATACATTTAAATAGATAAACGTGACTTTAAGCCCACACGTGCATCTGTAGATGCACCTTATCCTATATATTTGAGCACTATAAATATACTCAGCTGAAAGCTCCCTGTCTGACCTAGCTACTGCTTAGGAATACTTTGGCAGTTTTTACCACTGGAAGGCTGCACTACTCTTCTAAATCAAAATAGTTCTAAATCTTTCAGTAGCTCTGACTCTTAATCCAAATCTAGGTCTGCCCCACAGCATTTGGCTGGCTCACATACAGAGTTAGCAACGATCGAGTAAAGAATGCATTTGTCATATGGCAAATATGCAAGGGAGGGAATATTAAAGAAACAGATAATGGAAAAAACTGTATATTGAAAGGCAGAATATGAAAGCCAGAGTGCTGTCCCAGAACGTCAGGAGCTGTTTCTCATCAGGCTTGTGTTTGAGGAGAGAACACATACTGTGATAAATATCTGGAAAGAGCAGAAGTATTTGAGGATGTTCTAATTCTTTCCTCACAAGAGTCATACAGAAATCTGAATGCACCAAGTTCATGAAACCAAGGTGATAGTAAGGAAAAAGAGAGGGCATAGCTGTACATTTCACTAGCTGGATTTGAAATTGAATGAGGCTCAAAGATAAAGCCAACAGGAAAGATCTGGAAGCACGAGACTCCTAGTGGGGAAAAACAGAAAGCATGAATGATTGCGTTGCCCACGTGAAGCACTTTGTTATTGTGAGATATTAATGAAGAGGTACTGTAATAAAGCCAGAAGTTGTTAGAGGGGAATCAAGTTTATTTCACTTCACAATATGCCCATGTTTCATATTATTTATGAAAACAAGTCAAAGCAAAGATCATACTTAAATACTTTTTAATTGCTGGAAATTTTTCTGCACATCCTAAAAATTTGCAGCCTGATGCCGTTTGTAATGGAAGGTAAGGAGAAGAGGTCCCTTGTATCAGAGCCTGGCGATATTCCCCTGGAAATTCTCAGCTGAAAGCACTTGGAGCGCTGTGTCATGTCAGGAGAGTCAGTGATAGTGAGCGATGCTCACCAGCAGCACTAGAGAAGATGGCAGGATGAAAACAGTGTTCACAATTTGAGAAAGCCCCCTATGGATGCATAGCTTATTTTCTTCTCTGCCAAGTCCTGGGTACTGGCTGAAGTAAAGCTGTGTGTTGCAAACATACGCCAAGCTCCAAAGTTTCTGACTCATGACCCCTGCCCAGCAAGAGCCCTTCAGAGATCAATGCCATCTTAAGCCCAGAGTTTTATCAGTGTCTGTGTGAGTAAATTCAGTGGGTACATTCTGGCAAGATCACCCTGAAACTGTAGGAAAAAAATAGAAAATTCAATAGAAGCAGTTCTGCTGATTTTGCTAGGAGCTTTAAAGGCATAAAGACATGAGAGCTATTTGGCTCCTTGTACATAGAGACTGCACATAGCTGCAGTTGTAAGCAGAGGAGGAAATTGTGCAGCCTGGTGGTAACTGCTGGCACTGTTTTTTTTTTACTGGGAATCCTCAGAAGGAGTTTGAGTGTGTTTTCTAGCAGTGCAACATCATACATGATGAGAACAAGTAAAAAGGGAAATGTCTGGAAGATGAATCAGTTTATTTTTTCTTTCACTGGTGGCATTGATTACAAGGAGTGATTGCATGGTTAACTATAACAACACCTTTCCACTGCAAGTCACATTTTCATCAAGCCCATTTCTAGAAGCTGTCCCCCACAGGTAATGCACTGATGACTGAAGTGAACATTTGCTGAAAGAATAGTTCTGGCAGGTGATGAATAGGTCTGTGCAAGTGGTGGTAATAGCTCTAAACCTGGTTATTTTTTAAGAGAAGTAGTGCTGTCTCTTGCCTTGTCTTGTCTGAGCTGCCTCTAGGCTCTGAAACCTGATATGCATCTTGTTCATCTCTAATTGATTTTCATTTATAATATACTGGACCATTGGTGGTGACCTGATCTTCATATTCTGTGTTTTCCCTTCAAGTAGTACTCTAAACTCAGATTTTTCTCATAGAGCTGCCATAAATCCAGTTTGCATTTTATCTTGTGTGGAAAACCACAGGCTACAGTCTATTTTAATAGTTGCTGACAGCATTTCAGGTACAGGGTAGGTACTTTCTGCTCCAGTGAGTCACATATCTATCCTTAGAGATAATTCAGAACACGACTGCAGAAAAGCCCTGAGCAATCTGCTCTCGCTGACCCTAATTTGAGCAGAGGGGCTGGACTTAGATGATCTCCAGAGGTCTCTTCCAACCTCAGCTAGGCTGTGACTGCGTGATATTTTGTTTTACTTTTCTGCTAGTGGGGTAATGACAGTTTGCAGATAACACAGTAATATGGATTGGGATAGCAAGTTCCTGCTGATGGCAGAACGGAACACACTCAGTCTGAATACCCCTTAATGCTCAACAGTCATTACTTCATTGATGATCTAAACCTATTATTATGCTGAAAGCAAGAAACCAGGTCAGTCTTCAAGTGCAAGAAAGATGAAGTTTGTTGCAGCTACTCCTTCATCTGGTATGGAGGACTCTTGCACAAGCAGGACCAGTGACAGATGTGCATGCCAAAAGAGGTTGGGTTCAACAGAAGAGAAAATTCTGTGGCAGAGAAGAAGTGCTGTGTAGGGCAGGGAGTGAAAGCTTTGCTACAGTGGGGAAGCACTTCAACCTTCAGGACTCGTGCTGAGCTTGAGAGGCTGCTGCTGCTGCTATCTCATGTTTGAAGATTTGCCAGAAATCTTTGACAGTGCGTTTCTCATCTCATAAATCCTTGAAACCAATTTATGCTTCATTCTCACAGAGAAAGAAGACTTGATCATGGGATGAGCAGTGAAGTGAAAAGTCTTTATTCTATTTGCACAAAACAAATTTAGCTGAGTTCTATATTTTTGGTGTTGTGAAAGGACAGATTTTACATATTTGAAAATCATTTCTCACCTAGCTGGAAGAATTTAAACAAAAAATATGAATGATTCTGGTGAGCTAAGAGCATTCAAAACAGCTATAGAACAGAAGGAAAGATACAGTAATTGTAAACAAAACTGAAGAAAACAATTGAAAACTCTCCAGTGACTGAAAACTAACTCAACTACAAGCATTTCTATTCTATTCTTAGTGGCGAAAGGAGATGCTGATAGCAGCTAAAGTAACTTGAAATCCAGTAAATGTTGGAAATAGGTAAGAAAAAGATACAACAAGAAAGACAAAACAAAGAAACTCAAAGGCATATAACAATGCAGATACACGGTCAGCATAACTGAATCATAGAATGGTTTGGGTTGGAAGGGACCTTTAAGATCATCTAGTTCCAACCCCCATATAATAAACAGGGACACCTCCCACTAGACCAGATTACTCAAAGACCAGGTTGATCGAAAGCGCAACAGAAAGTTATTCTACATGTATATCAACAGTAAAACAAAACCAAAACAGCAGTAAAAAGAATATTGGTTCGTTACTAAAGACAGTCAAGAGTTAGCAGAAAAGACAAAAGTGTTGATAAAATGTTCCAGTTTTCTGGGAAAAAGATGAGTACATCCAATCAAATGATGAACTAGTTTCCATTGACAGCAGGTAATGAGGATGTTAAACAGTAGCTGTTCAAGTCAGACATTTTGAAACCAGGATGTCAGGTAAAGTTTCCTCTAAGATTTTATACAGAGCTGGTCCAGGAGTGCTGTGGAATATAAATGTTGATTTTTTTAATAATAAATCCTTTTAAATGGGTGGGGGTTCCAGGTGACTGTGAGAAGCTAACTTTGTTCCAGTACTTTTAAAGGCTGGGTGACATAATTTCAATAATTACAAGATGGACATCAATCAGGGGAAAATATTAAATAGATCACAGGGGGCCAAATAATAATAATTATTCATAATTATTAATTATGATTAACTTTACTCATAATTAATTTCCCTATTTGTTACTACTTTAAAATGGTCACTGAAATGAAAGGTGATCTGCACGTTTCTTTATTTAATCAAATGGTATAATTTCTTTTAAAGATTATCAGTTTGTTTGGCAGAGGTAATAGAATGGAGGAGTGAAACTGTGAAGAATGTTTGGCTTTGTATGTCAGCATGATTACATCATCTGAACTGTACAAAGTCAAGGTTAGATTTGTTGCCGTCTGTAAGTACCAGCAGTTAATCAGGCTACGAATGGTCATGCTTCATGACTGAAAATTGAAGCCAAATAAACTCAGGTTAGAAATGAAATAAGGCACATATGTTTGTAGAGAACAAGGTCGTGGAAAAAAATCTCCATTTGGGATGTTTTTAAAGGAAAATGTAGTGTAAGTGATCCAGGACTGCAGCTGTGGGCAGCACCCGCCAGCCTGAATTTTGGAGAAGGTGAGAATGGGTCATTGCAACAGACCTTCTGGCTTCTGGGAGCCCTTTTTAGATACTTCTGAGCTGTGCACCAGCCATACCAGACCTACTTTAGGAAGCCTGTCTCTGGTGGGAACTGTGGTACAAAGCTTGTATTTGGGCTGAGCCTCAAGAGAGAGCCCTGGTGCCTTTCCCTGCCCTTCTCTGCGTCTATACTGGCAGGAGAGGAGCAGCTCCAGGCTCTGTCTTGGATGTGGCACTCACTCCCTTTTCCCCACACAAATGCCTCCAACCCCAGTGCTATGGATCTGGGACCCTCCTGCTGGCCAGGCACAGGTCACTGTGCTGAGGTAGGGCAAGAAAAACAATAGCAAATCCTTTCCAAGGCCACATTCTGTGTCAGCATGGAGTTGAAAGGTTATAAGAGATGCGGGAAGCCTTTAATTTTACTTTGTTTGCAAATCTTTGGTAAAGTCTTTTTGACTTACTCAAGTCTCCTACCATCATATTCCACAGATACTGTCCGTGTAATCTTTAGTAGGTGTCATGAGTATCATTACACTTTCTAGCACAGTCTGGGTTAATTAAATGCACTTAACCTACAATTAATATATATTACTTCACTTGGTTTAAAGAAGGCTGTGGGTGTGAGCAACAGAAATATTGGAGAGCTGAAGGGGCGAATGGGAAGAAATTAAAAAATATGTCCAGGCAGCAACTGAATTAGAAAATAGAATCATGCTGAATTGTGTGAATGAAAGACTTTTTTTCTTTTTTTTCTTTTTTTAATATAATAGAAGCATATGCTTAGAAAAGAAAAATTGGGGCCAGGTTTTACTCTTACAAGAAAAATTGTGTCACCATGATAAGTCAGCTGGTACTAAACTAAGCAGGGCTCTGTGAATGTGTTGTGAGCAATCTTCCACTTGTGAGGAATAGGTGACCTAGAAGCTGTTCCCTCAGCTCTCCTTGCAAGCAAATGAGAACTGACTTGTAAAAGCCTCTACCAGAACACTTCTTAGAAATTGGAGTGGGACAGGAATATTCCATGCTGTCTTATGAGAGCACAGAGACAACAATTAACATCACTGAGTTTTACTGTTTTACTCTGCTAGTATGAGGAATGGACTGTAAGTTTTCAAATCCGAAAAGAAGTCTCTAATTCCTTACATGATTCTGTTTCTCACAACATATTAACCTATTAAACCTATTTCTCACAACAATATAACCTATTAAATGTTACCAGTTTTGACCATGAGGAAGTGTGATAAATAAGGAATGAAGGAACAATATTCTTTACTTGAGTACAGAACACTGCTTCTGGATGTCAGCTCCTTGAAGACAGGCAAACAAATTCAGCAACTTTTATACATAATCTTGCTGTACAATCATGGAATAGCTGTCTTACTTCTCTTTTATATGAACCGTAATCTTGTTTTTGTGGTGAAGCCCGCACCTCAGTTTTAGTGTATTGCTTTTGAAATAGACTGTTTTCCTAATAAATATATGTCTGGCAAACCTGGGGAGGTTCACTCTTGCTTGAAGCAATTCTGCCTTGCTTCTCCTCCACCTTACAGAGAGTCATCACTGTCAGCAATGGGAGTGAAAGCCCCAGCCAAAATTTAGATCTCTACCTGACTATCACAGCTCTTCTAATCAAGGATAACTTGTCAGTTGTCATAGAGAAGCCAAAAATATTCTTCAAGATATTTTTCATTCATTCATAAGTCTGGTACTGCATTCCATTCTGATTATTTTAATAAGCTATGAAATGTGATAATGCAAATATCTCGAACCGTCAGACTGCAGAAAACCAGAGGTGGAGGGAGCTGAGGCTGAGGGCATTGTGATGGGGAGAGAGGATGCTGGGAACACAAATGGGGAGCTTTGGGGAGAACTGAGTTTAGTGAATCAGTGATTCCAGGAAGCTCCAGCAGTTATCTTAATGTCACTTGCTTCTGTGTATCCCCTGGTTGGTGAGCCAGCATGTTTTTCAACTCTCAGATCATTTATGTGAACAAATGGCATTATTAATGATGCTGTTATGTTTCTTTTTTTTTTCTTTTTTTTTTTTTTTGCTGCTTTTTGTACTGCAAATAAAAGGAAATGCTGTGAGAGAGATTTACCAAAATCACACAGCACAGAGCCTTGCAAGAAGTCTTCAAATTCCTTCAGGCTACCTAATAGCGTGAGATGATCCTCATAGAGATTTATTGTGTCTAAAATAGAATCTTTATAAAATCCAAGGAAGGGAAGATCAGAATTTTTTTTTTCCCCAGAATGCTTATATATATATATATTGCTCTCTCTATATATTGCTAATAGACTTGTAGAATTGTCTGCTTTGTGGGAAGGGGAGATTCACCTGGGGATACCAGTTGGTGCAGCAATATTTGAACCCAAGAACACTGACGGAGCTGTGGGAAAGACATATATTCAGCTGTTAACTTACATTTTCCAGTGACTTCCCAGATATCAATGGGAAGTACCTGGAATGCTGTCACATCCTGGTTACCTTCTTTAGAGAGGTGTCAGTGACTTCCAGTACAAAGAAGGTGTCTTTTCACTTCACGAGGTTATCACCCAGGGTGAGATTAACAATCTTGAGCTGGCTAGTACGTAGAATCAGAACAGATTTAATAATTTTTTGATCAAAATCTGAATTTTAGAGCTAGTTCTGAGCATCCAGGTATCAGGAAAAAAAAAAAAAAAGAAAAAATAAGCATTGAATAGTGTCTTTCCTGCAGATTCATCAGTGCAGAATCTGTTTCCAAAAATATTCTCTACTAAAATATTCTCTCCTCTTTTGTCACCTTAAAATGAAGGCATCTAGTATAGCAGGTTGCACAGTATGAGGCACCTTGTGCATGAAAAATTACACAATTATGAATGTTTGGATTAGTTTATATGATTGACTGATGATGCTTAAGTACTTTATAATGCAACCATTCAGCAAATTAGGCTGATGTAATGTATCCCTATCAACAAGTAATTTCCTGTATGTTTGTTTGCAGTGTTCTCTAGCATCTACATTAAGTTTGTTAATGAATTATGGTGAGTAGAACGTGATTTCCTTCCCTCTTTATTTCGTAGGTTGGTGAGACCAGATGCAAAAAAGTTTGCACTTCGAAATCTGATCTGAGATCCAACGATTTCAGCATTGTTGGAAGCTTGCCAAGAGATTTTGAGTTATCAAATTATGACTGTTATGGGAAGCCCATTGAAGTCAACAATGGGCTCGGAAAGTCTCAAGCCAAGAGCAACAAGAAGCCTCCTCCTCCCAAGCCTGTCATTCCATCAGCAGCAAAGAGAATTGATCTTTACGCGAGAGCACTGTTTCCTTTTTGCTTCTTGTTCTTCAACGTCATATATTGGTCCATATATTTATGATGAATCTTTTATTTATTTTTTTCACCTGTAAAATATATCCCATTTCATATCCTTTCCCTGTCATGAAGGCCGACGTGTGAAATTATTTGCGTTTGCAAAGCAATATGTTGCATTTTGATGCCATGCGATTGTACTGAAAATATGGCATCTGAAATTTGAAAGCATGACACTGCAATGTCTGTGCTTCTACCAATGTTGTATATAAATGTACAGCATACATCTTGCTTTAGGAACATATAAAAGATAATGCATACGACATTATAAAGCTGAATAACTCCCTTCAGTTACTAGTAACATACAGAGATTTAAAGTGTTTCTGATAATGAAACTGATGTGCACGTTGCGTATTATTAAAATCAGTATTCTAGTATATGTAGTATTTAAAAGCTTTTCTGCTGACTTTCTGAGAAAAAAAAAACACATCTTGTTATTGTATAATTTTAGATGGCACTGGTGAAGAAAAAGCTAAGTTGTGAATCCTGTTATTTAGACGTCGTAAGTGAAGGCAGGATTGAATATGTCTATGTGGAAAAATGAAGGTCAGATAATTGCTGATTTTGTAACCAAAATCAGCAGTTTTGTAAAATTTAGGGGGATAAAAAAAAGCAATTGCATCCATCAAGCAAGCACACTTCAAGAATGTGTTAGAATATGCTGACTATTAAGCATTGTGCCCAATTTTGACTCTTATTTCCTTAGACACAAGCTAGATGTGTTGAACAGTCTGCTTTCTAGACTGAAGGTATCAGGAGTTTTGGAGAAACACCACAAGATGCTGTTCAGTATCTGTTTCTATTATACATTTTTACATTGGTCTGTTCTTTGCCTCATCTTCTCCAGTGTCTTGCAAGCCTACAGCGAAAAGTCACAATTAATTTTTTTGTTGAATCTGATATGTCTTACTCATTTTGCTTTGTTTATCCTCTTGAAAGCCCGTGGTTTAAAGAAACTATTTGTTTTCATGATGAAATCCCTTTGTAACTCTAGTTACACATTTTCTGTTTGCCTTTTGTAGCACAGATGATCTGAGCTAACATCTAGCTAGCTAGAAGTCCAAGGATCTAAGTCTGTTAAACACACATGAATTCTTACGCTTGTGTGTTAATTGATGACTGCTCTCCCCAGTTCATTTACTTGGCTGCTACTTGTTGGAAAATAAGATCCTGTGCTTGAAACAGTTTGATTAGGGGCTGTTCTCCATTATTTTTTTTTTTCCAGAGAAAACCAGAAAAATGGATTCCCCAGGGTGCATAGGGCAGGAATCTGTACCTATGGTCTCCATTGGTGCCACAGTATACTACTCTGTAAGAGCAAGTAATGAGGTAAAATACATTCAAATGAAAGCTGCTTGTATGTAAGCAGTCCAAGTAGTGTATGTTTCCTGAGAGCACACAGAGACTACATCTTCTGCTCTTGACAATATACTGTAGAGAAACATGTTTCCACTTGTAAAACTGGGGCATAAAAAAATGTAGTTAAAATATGAAAGTAAGACAGTTCTTGATAGGTTGGCAAATCATTAAAGGGAATATAGATTGTTGGAAAGGGTTGGATTAAATACCCAAAATATTCCATAAGGTAAAAAAAAACATGAATTCACATTTATCATGCTGCAGTTCTATTATAGAATGCGTTGAGCCAGAGGGAGACAAAGGACTCCTATCATTCTCGTGTTGCTCCCTGCCACGAGAGCATTGTGGACGTACAACGAGCCTGTATAATCACAAGGTTGAAAGTGGAAATATAAAAGGAGAGAATTAGGTCACACTGGCTTCACTGGGCACCTGATGGGTCTGTTAAGAGTGGTTTTCTAGCCACTGCCACTTCATGATCAGCAGCCCAGTACTGGTTTTACATGGAGCCCATGCAACGGCTGTATTTCATATTACTGCCACCTAAAAAGCATGGTTGGCTTTCCATCTTGGAAGTTATTGATGGTTGTTGGCCTAACATCTTTTTTGTGATACAAACTACTGCAGATGTCTTTTGTTCCTGCAACTCGTGTTTGGGCAGAAGAGGTCTTTTGTTCGCAATAAGGTTGCATGCTTTCATTGAGCTTCCTTGCCATTTTCTCTTGGAGATTTTCTTTACTAGGCAGCCAGAGTTTGTCCTTTGGATTTCTTTCTGATGAAGAGGAAATGGAAAGGAAGTAAGAAATGTTATGGAAGAGAAATAATGAATTCCCCAATGTTGAACTGGGGGAAGAGTGGTTATCACTGAGGTCTAGTATGAAGTTTCAGAGTTGAAAAGTATTTACAGAATGCTAGGGACCTTAAGAAGCAATAAGGATAACTCAAAGAGAGGAAGGGAGGGGTGACTTTTATACATACATCAGAGTGCTATATTTATAGACATTATTTATTCTCATACTTGTATTTTTTCTTACAGCATTGGAAGGCAAGAAAACAATTATATGTATTGGAAATTATATGACTTTTGGAAGATAATTTTCTTGTTAGAAATGTTATTAAATGATTCATCTGTAATTAATGTCCACATTTTATCTGTATAATCACAATTACAGATTTTATTGTTAAATTAATCTTTGTTCCTTCTTGCTTTCCTGCTTTCTTGATGGGTTTCATGTTTTATCATAAAAAAAAAAATTAATCAATAATTCACTGTAATTGCTTTCCAGCTCAAACAAATGGAAGGAAAATGAATGCGTACTATTAAGATAAAGGCTTTTCATTCATTACAGCACAAAGACTTAAGGACAGAAGCAAAGTTTAATAGCAGTTTTTAAAAAACAGTTATCAACTCTAAAGTAGTAATATTTTTTACTCATAAAGATAATATTGCAGTTTTTGAATTAGCTCAGAATGTATTAACTTCTCCTACTGAACAGTAATAATTGATTTATTTTGCTTCTTTCCTCTAAAGGTCGTTGAGTTTTGCGTATCATATCGCATTGTGGTCCTCCAGCACCCTCTAGTTGTAAAGTTCTGTCTGTTGACTTATTTCCAGAAAGAGGTGCAAGTATAAGACTGTATAGAAAGTATGGAATATTACTTGATACTATGAAAAAAAAGCTAATTATTTAAAAATGGATGGACACAAAATCAGTGGACAGCTATGGAAACCTGCCATGTGGTATGGTTTAAAAATGTAGGAAATAAGACATCTGATTAGTAGTAGAGGTTATAAGAAGCTTATAAAGAGCACGTTGGTAACTGGATGATGTGGTCATGACGTGTAAACAAACTGCATGATTCAAAAATCTGTTTCTAATGGAGAGACCATCTGTGTTTCAGCTGGCATTTGCTTTACGGTCTCCTCTTGGCTGTTAGGAGAGTTACAAATCTCTGTTCTACCCTTAGCATAAACCTCAGTATCTTTTGGTAATAAAGCATCAGGGGGGTAGCACCCTTTCCTTCAAAGCTTTGGAAGCATCTTTATAGGTCAGACTTCTAGAACTCTTTAGCAGGAAGTGCTACTTTAGATATGGATTAATCCATTACTTAACTTCATCCAGAAACTGAAGCTACACAATAAGTAAGGATGTGACCTGAGCAGGTTATCAGCTACTGTGCACTGATACTCTACCAGGATGTGTGGGGTGGACTGTGGTGAAGTAATTTACTTGGCTCTCAAAGTGTGGAAATCCATACTTTATTCTGTGGTGCTGGTTAGATTTGTACTTGATGCCCAGTTGTAAGAACAGCTCTGCCAGTGATTTTGGTCACTTCCTCTTTTTTCAGTCTTCTGTTAATTCTGTCTGAGATAGTATATGTGAGCAATGTATCTTTGGAGTGAAGAAATGATTTTCTGTGAGTGCAACTTACCGACCACTTAGAAACATTGCCAAACAGGTTTCATTCTCCTAAGTCTTTGGATCAATTTGGTCTTGTGTATGGGAACTGCTGAATCACAGCCTGAACCTCTGATTGACCACCTGAGGTGAGCAATGGGTCAGCCCTCGGAGCACAGGTGAAGGCAATTCTCCTGTGCTATGGGAAGGAGTGGAGCCTGGCTGCACCTCTCCTAGACCCCATTTAAGAGCTGACTGCCAGCAGGGAAGGCTCTCTTGTGGAGATTGCTCTTCTTGAAGTCTTTTCAGTGAGCCCAGGACAAGGGTAAGCTTTCTAACCATTCTTCTTTGGGATGATAACTTGTTTAGCCCAACTTTCCTGTATATTTCTTAATTATAACATCTTTATTTTCATTGGTTATACATCTTGGAAACGGAAGACTTTGACTAAAAAGAAAACTGATTTAACACTCTGTTATTCATTGAAGAGAATATAACGTTGCCTTTTGGGGCAGTTCAGTGGTCGTGACCCATAAAGATTGGTATGCTTGTATTAGTGTTTTGAAGGAAATACTGATACAAGCATATCCTAATTTACTTTAAAGTATTTCACCCTGGAGTGAGAAGATAATTCACTTAAGAAATCTGCCATAAATATTTTGGTAATTTATGCAGAGACTTCATAATACAGATGAGACCATTGGTCTCTTCTTCAATTCAAGCAGCTTACCATGGCAGTTATTGAATAACTTGTGCTGAGGATATTTGTAGAATAGATAACAATAAATTATTTATTTCCAGAGAGTGCAGCCTGAGTGTACGCAATGTCAAGTGATTTGTCAGGCTGTAGAGATAACTGAGTGCTGAAATGAGTACAAATGTGGTGTATAGGGCAGATAAGGGAATGTTGGAACACCATTACTTCATGCTTTGGTGTGCTAATTCTGGGATTAAAGATACAGTTGAAGGAAAAAAACCAACACTGAAATTCAGGTACAGAGAGATTAAAAAGTACTTTTATTTGTGTCTACAATTTAATTTTTCTGGATGTAGTAATAATATGGTATAATGGTTGCCTTCTTTTTATAAAAATACAAAGAATTGCTTTTAAAAAAAAAAAATAAATCATCTGTGGTGCCAGAAAGATACAAAACCTAGTTCTTTCCATAGGAGGGACCATGATGGAATAAAGGAGAAATAAACTCCAGTCTTAAATACATAAATTCTCATTGTTATAGTTGTGTCTCTAGCATTGTAGAAAATAGCTGAGCTGCTTGCAGCATGCCCTTGCATTTTGGCCTGGAAACTTGCATGCTTGTCCACCTCTTGTAAGCTGTCCTCACTCCTTCAGTGGCAGTGGTAGACATCAGAAGAAAGACACGTGACTCTTGTGAAATGTTGCTGAAAAACCTTCATTGCTATGAATGTATCTACTCTGCAGTCCCTGGAACATCTGCAGCTAATGCAGGCTTACCCAAATTAACTTCAAACTTGCTGCCTGGGGACTGCTAGCAAAGCAGCCATGGCAACACAAGCAGAGGTGGGGAAAGCCTACCTGCTGGTGTGGGAAAACAATCAGAATTGGTGTTAACCCCTACACAGATTGCTGCTGCCCTGGC